GTTCCAGCCCCTGTCTACAAATTGGACATGACATGTTGGGGTGCTGTATGCAATCAGACTCGCTCTATTTTCCACTTCGCATACATGCAAACAGATAGCGATTCACACTGGCGCCAAACGCCCACCCAAAGCTCAGAGATATGGAAACCAAGAACACAGTTCAGATGCAACTTCGCTTCATCAGGCTATGGCGCCTTAGCGCCCGTACACTTTCACTCTCGTCACTGTGTCCAACACCACTGTTCGCACGTACTCAACTCTGGATCACCCTGAATACCCCACACACACTCACTCTGTATCACTCACACATACACACTAACAGCTACCTCTAACGTATGGCGGCTATGGCCGATCGCTACTATTGCTATGTCTACGCTATCTTCTTCCTGCCCACTTCGACCGTGGGCAATCTGCAGACCACCTCGCACAAGACGCTGGGGCAGCACTTCCGCATGGCTTACGCAGCGAATGAATGAATGGCTGGGCGCTGCCTCTTGATTTATACTTCTGTAAGACGTTGGTCTGCCCCGTGTCCACTGGGCCCATGGTGCGCACAGTCCCTCATGGTACTTGCTGACTGTGCAAAGCCAGACTGGGACTGGAAACCACTGACTAAGCGAGATTGGACTCCACCACTTGCCCACTTGCCCACTTGCCTCTGGTCTGCTGTGTAGAACGTGAGGACTTGAAAGGCCACTTCCGGACCTTCTGGAAGTTTGCGGACTTGGCCTTTCAAGACTGTAGCAGCTACGACCTTGACCTTTCAGGACTGTAGCAGCTACGACCTCGACCTTTCAGAACTTCAACAACTACCACCCCTATGCAGGTGTGACCCCTACTTCGACAGGTCTAAGGTTCAAGACCCTGCAACTACTCAGACCTTCGACAGACAACTTCAACTACTACCACACAGGTTACGGGTTCAAGACTCACAGGGTCGACTCGATACTGTACACAGGTAAGGTAAGGTACGACGAGGTCTGTGGATCGAACTCTGGGATCCGCATCTGTGTCTGCAAAAAGGCGA